TGTTGTATTTGTTTTTCTCGTGTTTGCTGTGCATTTGCACCTGTCGACTGCTGTAGTATTTTAACGATTGTGTATTTTAGTTCTGCTGGTGTCCATATGGTTATATGTATTTGTTATAAGTTGCATTGTGATCACTGTTATGTGTAGAGTGTTATGGGGTTCCCCTGTCTGACTCTGCTGACTTCCACTCCCATGTGATGGACCTGTCATGTGGGCGAGGGATCAGGAGAGCGAGAGGACCAGGACCGATGCTGATCTGACAGAACACCGGAAGAGCGGAGAGTTCAGTGTGTGTTAGCAGTGAAGCTATTCAGTTGAGTGTAATGGTTTGTTAGAGGGGCGAGCTGCAGCCTAAGGAATAGCAGCTCACTCTTATTTCTAATAAACCCTGTTGACGGTACTACATCTGCGGTGTGTTGGTGTCATTACAGTATTTACTTACAGTACTACACCACTTTAAAAGGTACAGGATTGAAAAGGTAAATGTGGAATGTGGCATCTATAGACGCCAGTTTTTTTTTGTTTTTTTTTTTTTTTTTTTTTACCGTTTTTTGGAAAGAACGGTAAAAAAACAAAAAACAAAACTGGCGTCTGTAGCTACCAGTATTTTTTTTTATCATTCTTTCACAAAAAACAGTAGATTACCGTTCTTTCGAAAGAACGGTAAACTACTGGCAGCTACAGACGCCAGTATTTTACAGTTCTTTCGAAAGAACGGTAAACTACTGGCAGCTATAGACGCCAGTATTTTACCGTTCTTTTGAAAAAACGGTAAACTACTGGCAGCTATAGACGCCAGAAGTTTACCATTATTTCACAGTATCTATACCGTACTTGCATTGACGGTAACCTACTGTCAGGATTAATTACGGTACAGCTACTGTGTATTTACAGTAAACTTCTGGCATCTATAGCTGCCAGTATGTTACTGTAAATTTACAGGATTATTTCTTAGAGTGTAGATATTGAATACTTAGAGCTGAAATAAATTTAACCAGTATCAATTCAAACTCTTCTTCATTCTGTTTTGCTTTAATCTCTGTGCCACAATCTGCAGTGGTCTCCTGCCATCCCTAAAAAAATAAATAAATAACACCCTGGGTGGTTGCCCATATTGCCAATGTCAAAAACCACAACTGTCTGCACCATTAAGCATAACAATTAATGGTAAACAACGCTCAACTATGAACACTGTCCAAGGCGCAAGAAGCAAGAAGTAACCAAGCAGAAGGAGCACCGTGACTCAGGCTCGTGCAGAGGGGGGGGCTAGAGGTGCTTGAGAACCTGGCCCTTTTGCTCCTTGCCCCCAAGTGCCCTTTTGGTCAAATTTTTAATTTTTTCTTTGTAGTACTATTTCCTAAGCCCTCTTCTTACACATAATAACATGTACTAAAATTATTTGATTTTTTGTTGGGGTTTTCTTGTACAACATAATAAGCTGGTCACCTT